TCCCCCCTGCCGCCCCAGCTGCCTGCGCAATGACTGTGTTTTGCACGGTAACAAAGGCTTCTCCCAGCACAGGCTGAGCTGGTGCTGAGGAGTTTCTTTTTCTTACAACACCTGGGAGCTTAGAGAAGCTAATTTGGGTTTAAGACTTCCCTCCCTCCCTTTTTCCATCCCCTCCCCTTGCATCCTGCATGATTATTAACGAGTTTGGGCTTAATGAGTCAAGGAGGTGTGTCGTTTAAGTGCGGCAGCAAAGGGCTCAGTGGAGCCAGCATCTGCTGGGGGAGGAGAGAGGACAGGAAGAAATGCAGCCCCCCCAGCTAAGGAGTTACCTCCAGCCCCCCAGTCCTGCTGGCAGCAGGTAAAGGGGCAAAGCCTCCAGTGGAGGAAGGCCAAGGGCCGTGTGGAGTTCTGGTGGAGCTGATGATCGCCTTAGCAAGTGTATAAACCTGTTACCTGATGGAAAATACAGCAGCATGGGATGTTATTTCCACCTGGATTCTACAAAGGAAGGAAGTTTTATGCCAGGGGTCCCTTTTTCCCAGTATCCTTCCTACTGCTGTTCCCCCTTGTCCTGCGCCTTCAACCCCCAAAGCCTCCCCTTTTCCCAGTCCCTCATCCCCTGGTCTCTGCAGATAATTTGAGGATGAGGGTGGCTGAGGCAGAGAGTTGGGCACTGGTCAGGTCGGTGACTTGGTGGGGACATATGTCCATCTCCTGGGAGGCCACTTTCTAGGACATAGAGAAGAGTGTTTCTGGTAGGGCTGAGCAAACACTTCAGGGCTGTGATTGAGGGATCAAAGACGGGGTGTTCTTGCAGCAGGGTGAGAAGTGAGGTGCTGCTGCCTTCCCTCCTGCCCTGGCCCTGGTGGCGGCCTCTTGGCCATCCTCTGCAGTGAGCTCCCTTCTTGGCAAGGGCTGAAAACCTCACACTTCTTCCCCAAAGAGTCTCTCCCAGTTTGACACTGAAACACCCTGTCCTTCTGCTCTCTGGGAAGACCCGAAGGCAGCGATGGGAGCCCAAACCCCAGATCCACCAGTGTTTCAAGAGTAGCCTCATGCCCCGTAACACCCCAAACGCACACGTAGGAAGGAAACGGTGAGCAGGGAGGTCAAAAAGTAGGAAAGAAAAGAAGCGAGGCTTTGTGCAACTGGTGTAACTACCCAACACAAGACTGACTTGAGTTCTTCACGGCTGGGGATGGATGATCAAAGCACCGCATCAGGGCAGCAGCACCCACCGACCGCGGGACAGGGGATGACTCTGAGGGGTTGCGTGGGGCTGATGGTGGCTCTCGGACCCGTCCGGCTGATTCGAGGACTGCCTCTGCTTGCACAGCCCATGGCAGCTAAATGCTCCTGGGGTTTCCCAAGCAGACTTGCGTTGGAGTAAACCTCCTAAATTATTTATTTATTTATTTATTATTGTTATTATTCTATTTTTAATTGTATGTCAGAATGGATGCAGGTGGTCACTGTTACCAGTATTTATTTAAACCTTTTTTTTTTTTTTTAACAATAAGTTATT